CTAAAAGCCATTCTGTTTTTGTTGCTCTAGCCTTAATATTTTCCATGGCACTACTTTGTTTTGGAACTTCTGAGCCCTGTGAGACAAAATACTCAATGATTTTCAGTTCTTCTCTGCTTATGGTGATGGGATCTTGCTCAGCATCATTAAATCACATGATCTTATTTTTAGCTGTGTTGATTTTCAGCCCAATCTGCTGATCTGAATTTTTAGGTTTTGTTTGCATGTGTTGAAGTTTTGAAGGCATTATCACAATGTTGTCTGTGAAGTATTCTCTTCCTAGCTGTACGTTAACTAGAAGGAATTACCATGCTCTTTGCTCTTGGAAGGGCAGCAAATATAGAAAAACAATATTTTGCAGGATTTTATGATGTTCGGGTTTTAATGAGATTCTGCGATGTTTGAGTTTAATGAGATTCAACGCTTTTGCTATGTGCATGTTGATGTTGTATAGTAAATATTTATGGGTTCCTGGAACAATTGTCCTGCAAACAATATTTGACGGACTCGAGTGAGTCCAGGTAAAAATATGTACACAACACAAAAAATTTAAAACACTGAACAACTAATGTATGTATTAACAAATGTAATTGCATGTGTACACACATGTAATGAATGGAAAAGACATTAAAACTATCTATAAGAATGTGCTTGTTTATGTGTGTGTAAGTACATGTGTGAGAGAGTTCAAAAGTCAACAGAGGATCAAGGAAGCGGATGCGCCCCAGCTGCAGTGTTCTTTACGTCCAACTACATCTGAAAGTAGAGGAAAAGGAACAATGAAGGAAATTTTATAGACCTAAAGAGTGCCCCCTAGTAGGCATTTTTTCAATGTAATGAGCCAGCAGTTTAAGGTAAGTTCATTACTTTCTATATCTGCTGGAAGAACTGGATCCTGTAGCAAACGGAAAAATGGTTGAAAATATATATTGTTTTCCCACCACTGTAATGTAGCATTTATATGTCTTCTCTATGAATATGGTCTGTGGGTGGCCTTTTACCTGTGACTTTTTTTGTCCTCTGGGCAAGAGGATTCAAATTGCTGGTCGTTTGGTGGTATAGTAATTGTGAGCAGTTTTTTTTTAATTGTCTGAGAGGACCCGTTTTATCTTCCATTAGCATGGCTGATGCTAACCTCCAGGAAAGTGATTAATTGTGCCTTCTTGAAGTAACATTTTCTCCTGACATGAAGTGGAAAGACTATATTGAATCAATTGTGGGGTCTGCAGCTTGGAAAGTTGGTTCACTGAGTCAAGCTAAACACTTTTTCTCTTCAGAATCTATCTTACATATTTATAAGTCTACCATTTGTCCTTGCTTTGAATATTGCTGCCACATCTGTTCTGGGACTCCTGCTATATATTTAAAGATTCTTGACAAAATCCAAAGAATAATCTGCAATGTTATTGGTCCTTAACTGACATCTCAGATTCAATCACTTTCTCTCTGCCATAACGTAGCTTCCCTGTGCCTTTTCTGTAAATGTTTTCATAATAATTGTTCTGATGAACTTTCCTCTTTGCTACCTAGACTTTATGAAGTTAAGTGTACTACTAGATTGGTTTCATTAATTTATAGTTGAAATGGCAGGATGTAACTAAGTTCTATGCTAACAGTTTCTTCTCTCACACTTCTCACTTGTGGAACTCTCTCCCAGTTTATTGCTTTTCAGTAAACTTTCAACTTCAAAAATTTAAATGCAATGCCAATCGCTATCTTCTCTCTTCTTAATATCTGTTCTTTTATAGTTCTCTCTCCTTAATAATGTTTTTCTTATATTTTTTCACATTTAGTAACCTGCTGCATTTTAGTGGCTCTGTTGTCTTGCTTGGGGTAAAATCAGGTAGAAACATATGAACAGAGTAAGATAGATATATATGAAGGGACTGAGATGGATATGAACAGAAAGAGATAGGTATGAACGGCCTGAGATGGATATGAACAGAAAGAGATAGGTATGAACGGCCTGAGATGGATATGAACAGAGAGAGAGAGATAGGTATGAACGGCCTGAGATGGATATGAACAGAGATAGATAGGTATGAACAGCCTGAGATAGATATGAACAGAGTTATCTTCCTGTTCTTTTACTGTTCTCATATTCTTTTCTCAGATTATTTCACACTCAGTAACCCCTTGCATCTGAGTGGCTTTATTGCCTTGTTTGGGGTGAAATGATAAATTTCTATGCAACAGAACCATTCTATGTAACAGAACAAAATGGAAAAATTCTTTGTAACATGTTTCGTCTTCTAAAGGAATTCATCAGACAAATGTTTTTATTGATGGATTTATATATGTTTGGCTTAATGAATGCTAATCTACAACGGTATTGAAAGAAAGCAAGAAGAAAGGATTACATATCAACTACAAGAAGACAGAATTTATGGTTATTAGCAAAAGGATGAGCCCAAAGTCGAATTGCAAATCGAAGGCACCAAAATCAAACGAGTGCAGAAATTTAAATATCTGGGAAGTGTTTTAACAAAGGACGAAAAGAGCAACACTTAAATCTGAAGGCACATTCAGATAGCCAAATATGCATTCCAAAAGCTAAGCAGAGTATTAAGAATAGAAAAACTTTGCTAGAAACAAATAAAAGAGTACTGAACTGTTATATAGTATTAGTCCTCCAATATGGCAGTGAATGCTGGGAAATTTCCTCAAGGATGTAGAAGAGACTTGAAGCAACATAAATGTAGTTCTACAGAAGGATGCTGAGCATATATTTTGAAGATGTGTGCAAAAAGAAAAGATTTGGAGAAAATGGAAGCAAAAAGGAAATATTAACATCAGGAAGAGACAGTTGAGGTTTTAGGGCATATAAAGAGGAAAGAAGGCTTGGAAAATCTGATACTCACAGGATAGATTGAAGGCAAGCAAGACAGGAAAACAATGTATAACCTACTTAGTGAGCTTGAATAAGTGGATGGCAGAATTGGATTTAGGAGAAATAACAGAAAGATAAAATTTATTAAGAGCTATAAGGGACAGGAAATTGTGAAGATCAGCAAGATCCCAAGGAGACACAACATATAAAAAAGAAGAATTTACAATAGTTATCCTCCTACACAATATTTCCGTATTTATTATGCCATCTTGGGTAAGACGTTAAACTACATCCGCGTCCTGGATAAGACATTAAACTACGTCCAGCAGCAAGGCCTCTGATCAGGAGGTTTTGAGGAGCATGGAACTACCTCTTAATTGCTGGTGTTCCCAGGTTCATCCTGACCGAGGGTGGTAGCACCTGTTAGGGTCCCAGCTATGGGTAAATAGTTAACTATTACCAGCAATACTTTTTTGAAAAAATTATTATCAGTAATACAATTTTGAAGGAAATATATTACCAAAAACAGATTTTTGACAAAACAAAATATTACCAGCAATAAAAAATTTTGTCAGCATTAAATAACCCATTGAGGTTGATATGCCGTTAAACAAAATAAGCCAAACCAATCTAAAACAAAGAATACATATTCTATTCATATGAATCTATCCTAAAAATGTTGTTGGCATTAAATAACCCATTGAGGTTGATATGCTGTAAAACAAAATAAACCAAACCAATCTAAACCAAAGAATATATACTCTATTCATACTAATCTATCCTTAAAATGTTGTCGGCATTAAATAACCCATTGAGGTTGATATGCCGTTAAACAAAATAAACCAAACCAATCTAAACCTATTTATTATGAGCAAACCAGTCAAGTAAAGCCAAACATCCAAAAAGTGTGGTATCTCTTAACTACAGACATTTTCAGAATCACATTCATTTTGTGTTTTTGCCTTGTGAGCAAACATACATATTTACATGCCGACTTGTCTTGACAACTCGGTCAGTAAATTTCAAATTAAAACAAGTATATAGGTTGGAGTTAATCAATTTTTACCTGTCAGTGAAAGTATCACCTACATTTCAAGAGCCTAGCTGGCCAGAAATTAATCACTCTATTCAAGTCAGTGGGCGTTGTTTATAAATCATAGCCTTACGTTGCCTCGAACAAAAGAATTTTACTATTCATGACACTAAATTTTCTCTGTACTCATAACATGTCAGCAGGTGTGGAAAAAATTCAAACTCTTAGTGACTTATAACTTGTCTTCTCTCATAACTTCCATGACTTTTATGGAAAGAAAATTCTTGTGACAAGAAATCATTATTACGTTTTGTATTTTTAGAGTAAGATTATTAAACAAGATCTTTAATTTATTTTCTTAATGGAAAATGATGATATACAAGAGAAATGCCAAAATGTTCTTAGCCTGACCGACTTCTGAGTAGCTGAACAAATAGCCAAATATAAATAATTTTTTTTTTTTTTTGAAGGTCATCTTTATTAAGTCAAATGCTTTCACCCACATCACATTGCAACACCGGTTCCAATATGATCACCAAAGTTAAGCAACTGGGTAATGGCTTAGGGAACATAAGCTTGGATATGTGGGTGGTGTGGCTTAGGGCCATATCGTGTTAAAACATACATTCTTGTACAATCACCAAAGTTAAGCAATGTTGAGTCTGGTCAGTACTTATATGGTTTACAGCTTGGGAATATAAGCTTCGAAGTGTGGGTGGTGTGGCTTATGGCCATATCATGTTAAAACACAGGTTTGTGTATGATCACTGAAGTTAAGCAATGTCAAGCCTGGTCAGTATCTAAATGGGTGGCACTTGGAAATACCAAGTGCTGTAAGCTTGGATGGGTGGGTGGTGTGGCTTATGACCATAGCATTTACAACACCAGTTCTCATAATATCAGCAAAGTTAAGCAACAGTGAGACTGGTCAGTTCCTAGATGGGTGACTGCTTGGGAATAACAGGTGTTGTAAGCTTGAATGTGCAGGTTGTGTGGCTTATGGCCATATTGTGTTAAACCACCAGTTCTTGAACAAGCATCAAAGTTAAGCAACATTGAACCTGGTTAATAACTAGATTAGTGACTAATTGGGAATACCAGGTGATGTAATCTTGTATGTAGAGTTGGTGTGGTTTATGGCCATATTATATTAAAACACTGGTTCTCTTTTGATCACCAAAGTTAAGCAACATCAAGCTTGGTCAGTACATAGATGGGTGACCTGTTGGAAGTACCAGGTGCTGTAAGCTTGGATGTGCGAGTGGTGTAATCTAATAGATAATGACTACAATGGATGTGTTAACAAATAAAAAATAACCAAGAGCTTGCAATGGCAAAGGGAATGTAACTGGTCTTAGCAGGACTTAAGTCCCTTTATTTTCTATTCAAAAATAGAACTTATATCTTTACTCAATAAAATCACAACTTTTGCTTATATTTTTTTTTATTTAATTTTATTTATTTTTATTTAATTTTACTTTAATTAATTTTATTTTTATTTTATTTATTTTTATTTTAATCTTATTTAATTTTAATTTAATTTAATTTATTTTTATTTAATATTTATTCTAATTAATTTAATTTTAATTTTAATTTATTTAATTTTACTTTAATTAATTTTATTTTATTTATTTTTATTTTAATCTTATTTAATTTTAATTTAATTTATTTTTATTTAATATTTATTTTAATTAATTTAATTCTAATTTTAATTTATTTAATTTTAATTTTACTTATTTTATTTTAATCTTATGTAATTTTATTTTAATTTAATTTATTTTTATTTAATATTTATTTTATTTGATTTAATTTTAATTTTAATTTATTTAATTTTAATTTTATTTATTTTTATCTAATTTTAATTTTCACATTTTATTTTTTTTAATCAAACAAGGTGGTAATTCCACTAGTATGCAGGGAGATACAAGGGGTGAAAGTGAAAGAGGAAGACTGAAAATAGGAAGGATTGAGAAAAGGACACAAGATGAACAGGGTTTAAGAAGACCAAAGATAGCGATTGATGTTGCATTTATGCTTTTGAAGATTGTAGTTATCAGGGAAGTAAGGAAACAGACTTTTTTTTTGAGGAAGAAAAAAGCCAGCCACTTCTTTTTCATCAACATCTTTTTCCTTTTTTAATTTCTAGTTGTCTGGTTTGGTTCACTAATTCATCAACTTCATCTGAAACTAACAAAATGAGTCAAACTTGAACAAAAAAAACAAACATTCTCTACCAAGAATTCCAAAGAATAGGATCCAAGATAAACCTTTTCCAGAACAGAAACTATGATCTTGAATTGGAATGAAAGCATTGATGGCACGTATACTGATTCCTTCATAAAAATTCAGCATATGGAATCAGTAAACACTAAACACTTCAAATACGCTATTTAGTATACAAGACAGTGACATGCAAAGGTTTGGTGATAGAATAGGGCTATTATATGTATAAATAAAATGTTTAGTATTTACTAATTACATATACTGATAGAATAGGGCTATTATATGTATAATCTAAATGCATTGCTAATGGTTTTACTATAGGAATGCATTGCAAATGAAAAAAGGCATTGTCAGTGGTCAGGAATGAATGCAATCATTACTGATAGAATAGGGCTATTATATGTATAATCTAAATAGATTGATATAATAGGGCTATTATATGTATAATCTAATGCATTTTTTTTACTATAGGAATGCATTGCAAATGAAAAAAGGCATTGTCAGTGGTCAGGAATGAATGCAATCATTACTGATATAATAGGGCTATTATATGTATAATCTAAATGCATTGCTAATGATTTTACTATAGGAATGCATTGCAAATGAAAAAAGGCATTGTCAGTGGTAAGGAATGAATGCAATCATTACTGATAGAATAGGGCTATTATATGTATAATCTAAATAGACTGCTAATGATTTGTTTTCAAAGCATTTGGCTGCATAAAGTAATATAATGTAAATGCATTTCATTAGAAACACATTAACATTGCATGTATAATAGCCCAATTCTATCAGTAACGCTTCTTCGCCACTGATAATCTCTTTCTTGATTTCATGCACTTCTTCTCTATTGATATTTCTAAAACAAATAATTATCAATCTATTTAGATTATACATATAATAGCCCTATTCTATCAGTAATGATTACATTCATTCCTGACCACTGGCAATGCCTTTTTTCATTTGCAATGCATTCCTATAGTAAAATCATTAGCAATGCATTTAGATTATACATATAATAGCCCTATTCTATCAGTATATGTAATTAGTAAATACTAAACATTTTAAGTATCTTGCTGTATGGATCAGTTATAACAAATTTAATATAGGAGACGTGCAGAGGTTTGGTGATTCCCAGGGCCGACTCCTTGATTGTATGTGCCTCAGACTCAAGTAGGGGGCCCTACTCAGGTCTTACTTATCAAAGCATGGATCCATATTCACACAAGTTTGTGGAACTGTAGGGCACTTGAGCAACAGAGGCAATTTCAAATTTCAAAAACCAAATATTTATTTCACTCTTTCTTTCGATGCACTCCAGATATAGATGTCCAGGGTTGGCATACCCTTTGCTCTCCTCTCTGCATACTACTGATAGGAGATAGAGAAATTGAACATAGAGTAGGCTACACTAGACATAGTTTCCCCAAACACTGATATAGATAGCTAGATAGATAGCTATGAAGAGACTGAGATAGACATGAAGAGACATTGACATGGGGAGGTTTGGTGATGTCCAGGGCCAACTCCTTGATTGTATATGCCGAAGACTCAAGTAGGGAGCCCTACTCTGGTCTTGCTTATAAAAACATGGATCCATATTCACACAAGCTTGTGGGACTGTAGGGCTCTAGACAGATATGAAGAGACTGAGATAAATAGATATGAAAAGACTGAGATAGATAGATAGATAGATAGATATGAAGAGATGGAGGTATATATATATATATAGACAGATATGAAGAGAATGAGATATATATATATAGATAGATAAATATGAAAAGACGGAGATATATATAGATAGATAGATAGATATGAAGGGACGGAGATATATATATATATACATAGATATAAAGAGCCTGAGACAGATATGAAGAGACTGAGATAAATAGATATGAAAAGACTTAGATAGATAGATAGATAGATAGATAGATAATGAACAGCTTTAGATAGATAGATAGATAGATAGATAGGAAGAGATGGAGATATATACATAGATAGATATGAAGAGACTGAGATAGATAGATAGATAGATAGATAGATAATGAACAGCTTTAGATAGATAGATAGATAGATAGGAAGAGATGGAGATATATACATAGATAGATATGAAGAGACTGAGATAGATAGATAGATAGATAGATAGATAGATATAAAGAGACTGAGATAGATAGATAGATATAAAGAGACTGAGATAGATAGATAGATATAAAGAGACTGAGATAGATAGATAGATATAAAGAGACTGAGATAGATAGATAGATAGATAGATAGATATAAAGAGACTGAGATAGATAGATAGATAGATAGATAGATATAAAGAGACTGACATAGATATTAAAAGACTTGGATATGAACAGACTGAGATAGATATGTGGCAGAAAAATTTCCATCATTAACAATTTAATGAGAAAACTTCAAAACCCCAACATCTGGCTGTTAGCAGGTTTTAACTTTTTCTACCAGCCTTTTTGCTTGTTTAAACTACAGTGTAAGAAATAATTGCCAAGTGATAAAACTCAACAATAGAATTCATCATCTGCTCAAAGGCTATTGTGACCTACTTGAATTAAATACTGTCCTCAAAAGATTCCACCCCCCACCCTGCATTTTTGTTGACCTGTTTACTGTTGTTATAATAACAATTTCTCTTGTTTGCACAACCAATAGTTCCATTATGAGTAATCGTCATCACCAGATGTTGTGTTTGGACTTTTGTTATAAATAGACTACTCACCACATCAATGAAATGATAATTATAATATTTGGTAGAAGACATGCAGTAGGCAGAATTAAAGGCTATGTGTATGTTCAATCATATCTTGAGTAAAATATTGGGTAAGAACATAAATTTATATAGCATTTTTTTATTGACATTATTCAGAGTGTTATCCTCACCTTTACCACCATATTCACAACATTTCGGCTGTTGTATGCTCTAGCCTTCTTCAGGTGATTGGAATTGGAAAATAAAGGGTTCAGTTCAAAATTCCAATCACCTGAAGAAGCCAGAGTGTACAACAGCTGAAACGTTGTGAATATGACAATGAAGATTAGAATAACAATCCGAATGTAAATAATGTAAATAATCATAATACTTCATCTCAGAGATATAGAAAGCATTTTTTTAATTTGTCTGAACTTCTGGAATGAAGGGATATCATTATTTACATTTGGATTATTATCCTCATCTTTGTTGCTATATAGGAATTAAATCCTATATTTTCCAACCAATAAAATCCCATCGGAAGGTTTTTTGGATTAGCAATCATTACTAGGGCAAATACCACTAAAATACTTGCGTATTTGTTGACCTACCATGTGTTATTTTTGGACCATTTAGAAAATAATAATAATAACTCCTATCACCACTTTGAGAGCCATGATCACCAATGTCTTGAAGGGACATGACACAAAGAAGCAGAAGATATCTTTTCATACATTTTCTTTGTATGTCTCTCACTCACTATTTTTTTTTTTATATCTTTCCTTATGTCTTATTAAACAGATAACCACTAAGACTGTTGCATAGAAAGACTGTCTATCCTTCTCTACATAGAATGTCTGCACATGGAACAGTGGCAAAAAGTGAGTTGCTAAAACAGCTCTTTCAATCATACGCTTGTCGCACCAAACTACTGCATTTTCAATCCATGTTCTCATGTGATTAAACCATTCTTCATTCAATCCTTTGTTTCCAGTGTTTTCCTTACAGTCCTACTAACCAGCAACAATGAGCATTATACAAACTTTATAACACAATCAATCTTTCCATTTGCTAAGTTTGTGAATGAAGAAATCATAGCGCTTTCAGTCATACTGAACTACTGTATTCTTAATCCATGTTCTCATGTGATTAAACCATTCTTCTTTGTTTCCAGTGTTTTCCTTACAGTTTTACCAATGAGAATCTATGTGCATTATACAAACTTTATAACAGGAGTCAAGAAGAAGAAAGATTCCAATTTCACTCGGGGTCCTTACAGACTACAAAAGAACATATCCCTCCATTATTACAGGACTATCATCTGCTGCATCCATAGCCTAATTCACTCTCTTCTCCACACAAATGTAACCATCAAATGGGCTGCTTTTGGTTGAAATTTGTAAAATCTTTCTTAAAACAATTTTTCAGCAAAATAGGTTTCTGAAAACCAGAAGCTGTTATCGCTATTGTTGATGGGAGTTTCCTCTCTAGCCTTTTGTTTGAAGCAGTGTGGAAAGTCAACATCTTGATTATGCGATTATTTTCTCTTTGCATTACAAGTGCTGAGGATCACTTGTTGGGCATCTTTGTTTTTATTGTTAATTTTGTCTTATTTCCAATTTATCAACAATCATTTTTGAAATGGGTTGATCAAAAAGCTGATTACTTAAGAGGATTTACATCCCCTTCCTGCTATACTTAAAATACTTGTTTGACACTACCTGACTGTTATAGAATAGTCAGTGTGCCACAAAAGCAATGCATCTAATCAAACCTCAAACAACAACAAAAGACAAAGTAATTTTTGCAAATAATTTTATTCAAAATCTAAAAGTAAAATAATTTTTGTTTTTGTTCACTCGCTGTCATAATTATTGATGGGCAACCTTCAGCTAGGTTTACTTTTCTTCTCTGTTCATAGTCACCCCCTTCCAAGACCCACCCACCCCATTTATACAATAATTGGCAACAGCAGCAATGTCCAAAATTAAGAAACAAAGGTCAGATGTCAAAGGGTTAAAAACTTAATCTTTCTCATAAAAGTTAAATTGCATTCAACACAAAAACAAAATAGAAATCTTTTTTTTTTTCCTTCTCCCATTTGCTTTTTATTTACTAGGCTGGTGTACATAATGTGAGGGATCAGTCTTATCTTTTAATCAGGTATTAATTAAACTGATCTCTCTGTCATAAATAAGAACAACAGCTCTTTGTCCAAATTTGAAATAAGATTTTCTTCTGTTAGATGTTTTTATATACCAGAAATGTGTGTGTGTGTGTGTGTGTGTGTGTGTGTGTGTGTGTGTGTAGTTTGGATAAGAATATAACAATTTGAAAATTTTTTTTTTCCAAATTTTTTTTTTTATATATATAAATTTTTATTTTGAGTGTTCAGGTTGGTAGGCAAAATAAAATACAGCTTGGAATAAAATGGAGCACCTACTCAAAATAGTGTCTGCTAAAAATAATGGTAATCTTTGATGAGATTGAAAGTACTTGGGAAAATAAAAGAAATAATTTAAACTATGGTGTCTTTCTTACTCAGTTTTGTAACAGCACTAAGAAACTGATCTGTGAATTTGAGAGGATTAAAATAAAATAAACAGACATAATATGTCTAGATTATTCAACCAAACATGCTTGAATGAAGATACGCTGTCTATATATATATGTGTGTGTGTATGTATGTATGATAATAAGAAGACTTTAACTATCCATTTTGTTTGTAATTTTTATTTTGTGAACACCGAGATGTTCAGCTCATCAGAACAATTTGTGGAGAAGTTTTCGTTCTGATGAGCTGAACATCTCGGTGTTCACGAAATAAAAATTATAAACAAAATGGATAATTAAAGTCTCTGGCTTTCTATTATCATTATAATGCTCTGTAGTCTACAAATTATATTTTATATATAAATTTTTATTTTGAATGTTCAGGCTGGTAGACAAAAGAAAATATAGTTTGAAATAAAATGGAGCACCTACTGCTTGATGTGTCATAAAAAAATATTAAATTTGTTCAGTTATGTGTATGTATATATTTTTTAATCAGTTCAACCCAAATGAGGCAATAATGCCACTTAGATGCAAGGGGCTACAGGTAGTGAAAGAGAATGAGAAAAATTTAGAAGGAACTAGAAATGCAATATATATATATATATATATATATATATTCAAGGAATCAAGAAAAATTCAAGTATTCTATATGGTTAGCCAACTCAAGTGTTTTGTGTTAAAATACTCATCAAGATGTTTGATAAATCAAATTTGTCTATATTTCTGAGGTGAGGTATCGTAACTTTACACTATTTACATTATTTAGACTTTTGTTACCTTTATTACCATATTCACAACATTTTGACCATTGTATGCTCCGGCCTTCTTCAGGCAATATATGCTGGAATTTCAAACCAAGCTCTTTATTTAGTCCAATGGGATAGATTGTTCTAGTTCCACATGCCATGCCTTTTCTGGATATCTCAGGTTCAGTTATCTCCCTTTAGTAACTCAACTCTCCAAGTTTTTGTTCACCTCTGCTGTGGACAGGGATTGAACTTACAACTCTATGCATCAAGTCCATTGGTTTATATGTCCTTGAGGATACATGGCCCGGTGGGCTTGTTTCGAAATTCCAACGTATGTCAAAGTAGGTCGGAGCATAAAACAGGTGAAACATGAATATGACAATAAAGTTGAGGACAACAATGTAAATAGTGTCAAATTTATTTATTAGATTATTTAAAGATTTATCAGACATCTAACTCTGAGCATTTTGACAGAAAACTCTTGAGCTGGCTAACCAAATAATTCACTTTAACTTCTCTTGACCTATTGAATATTATAGCTCGAGTTATCTATTGAACATTTTTTGACAGAAGTTCTGCTAGCCTGAAAAAAGACATTACATTCTCATAATTTTCATGTATTCTCATCATCCTTATTATATCTGAAACTGCCTGAAGAGTGGACTGAACAATTACCAAAAAAGTTAATCTATAAAATTGTAGTTTTGAGGTGTGAATGAAGCTGAATCAATCAACTAAGTAACAAATTACATTTATATATATATATATATATATATATATATATATATATGTATGTGAAAAGTGTGTGTATATAAATATAACATCACATCAATCCAACCAAATATATATATATATATATATATATATATTTTTTTTTTTTAAATATATATATATATTTCTAAAGTAATGGATATTTTTTATCAATCCAACAGATTTTCTATCACTTTAAATGTTATTTTTAGAGGATACCCATATTTGAGTAGAAACTCCATTTATTTATTAAACATATTTATTTTCATCTACTGGCCTGAATATTTGAGAAATCTTATTAAAGAAAAATATGAGCTCTCTGGCAGGATTCAAACCTGTGTCCTTCTGGGCAGAAGAAAACCATCATTAGATCTCACATGCCTTAACCAACTCAGCCAGAGCAGCCTTGCCAATTGAGCAAGGTCTGAACACTGCCTTTAAGCAAAATCCCTCTCATCACAAATTCTTCAAAACTTTCGTATCTATTCAGATCTGTATGCAAACATGAACAAAGTAATATTCTAAAGTAATGGCTTTTTTTTTCTTTTTTTTTTTTTTTATCAATTTGACAGATTTTTTTATCACCTTAAGCATTATTTTTAATGGATACTGATATTTGGATAGACACTAGTTTATTTATTGCACTGTATATATATTTATTTTTGTCTAACAGCCTGAATATTCAAGAAATCTTATTAAAGAAAAAATATACATTCTCTGGCAGGACTTGAACCTGTGTCCTTCTGAACAGAGGAAAGCGTCGTTAGATTTGATGTGCCTTAACGGATTTGGCCACAATTATTTATCTTTGGATGTTATTGTACAGAGTGGTCTGAAAGTCTTGTCACCCCTACATAATATAATTTTCTGTGTGTGTGTGTGTTTATTTTTTACTTTTTATTTTCTTTTGACTAATAATCTAGTAATATTAGTAATCTAGTAATGTCTAATGAAGACCTTTCTTTTTGACTTGATTGCAGTAGACAAATTCCAAGAGTAATGAAGTTTTCAGTTTGT